TGTGTGAGTTTATATTCTTCGCCATAATACTGAATCCCAAATAGTTATTTCATGACTCATAGTCAGAAATCTGTTTTCCCAAAGTGTGCATTATAATATTTAAATAAATGTAAACATCTCATGAGTCAAAATCCTTTTCATGCATAATGAACACAGGAAAGCTGCTGGAGGCTCAGGAAGAAAGGAACGAAGAGTGTAAATGATTGTATGCTTTCGTAGCAATTATTTATTATGATGTGATAAAATGTCTTCTAGGTTCTGAGAATTCAGAAATGAGCAATATAGTATAAGCTGCTAAGCTGCTTAGACTCTATGAGGGCAATAGTCAAGAACAAATGAAATAATGTTAAAAAATCATTAAAACAATTTCATGAAGATGGATTTTAAATATGTAGCATAAGGGACAGAAAATATGGAAGGACTGGATTATTGGATAGTCAGGACGTCCCTGGGTAAGGGACAATCATCTTGACATCTAGGTGATAAGCGTTCTTTTCTCTCTCTCCTCTCTCTCTTCTCTCTCTCTCCTCCCTCCACCTCCTCCTCCTTCTCCTCTTCCTCCTTCTCCTCCTTCTTCTGACTTATAATGATCTGTTTAAGCATGAGCAACTGCTCCTTATCTGAGTCTTCTAATAACAATTTTATTTCAGTATGTTCCTGACACAATTAATCCTATTACATCAAAAGTGATCCTAACAAACCAAGGCTGTAAAACTTTATTTCATCACCTCCATGACCAGTTCCCATTTTCAGCAACATACAAATAAAGAATAATATAACATAAATTATTATGTGTGTTTTAGTATAACATATTAATATTATAATCTTATTTTTCACTTTATATCTTTTGTTTTCTTTCAGAAAGCTATCAGAAGCTAAGTATAAAAGTAAATAATATTTCTCAACAACTTTTCTGTGCTTCTCAATAACTCTGAAAGTTTGTTTTATAGTTACACTTCCATTAAAATTAAGTTTAGGAAAAGGTCTATAATTTTCCCAAGATTTTCAACTAGCAAGTACAGCATCGGAAGCTGGCACTTAAACGTATAAGCCACCTGTTTTCAACCGCTATGGCACAGTTGCCCAGACAAAGTCAACTTAGTAGTATTTTTCCTATATTCTTCACGTAGAACCCTGCATTTGCAAGAGTATTGTTATCATAAACATCAAATTCAGACAATAAAGTATAAGAGTTTGAATGCTTGAATTCTTCTTGTCACTTTGGGGTTTGAATGTTATGACATGCCTGGTAGACAGTAATCATTTTTTTCTGGATACTTTGAACAGACGCCATATAAGTACCAATGTCTCAATAACTGCAGGGATCACGTATGCAGGCATTCCTCAGATATGGATGGGTGTGTCTAGTGTGTCCAGAATACAAAATAACTGTGCATCTTTATAAACACATGGAAATTTTTAAGCAAACAGTCTCCAAAACCATGTTCTCATAATCTTACCTTGACCCCAGTGATAATAATGTTAGCCTCCACATTCTCCCAAAGAACATATTTGACTTTTCTAAAATTATTCAATTATTCCAATAACCTAAGCTTACAGTTCTCAGGCTACACTCCCCGTGAAAATTTGACAGAGCATTCGTTCTGGCAAGTCCAGGATTCAGATGTGGTCTCTCCTGTTGTTCAAACATTCTCAGATAAAGCTGATTTTGAATTTTCAGTTTCGAGGTCTTCAGAAGCTAACCATTTTGACCAAAGGCATTTGCTGTGTTTTCATTCTGATACCAAGGAGGAAAATCTGAATTCTTGTCACTAAGCCAACAGTGAATAAGTCTCATGCTGCTTTATCCACTACACTCTCATTACGCATGCATACATAGGCACATACATATTTAGGAATAGGAAACTTTCGTAATCTAGGGTCAACTATGACAGCATTTGTCACAGAAGTCAATGCATTCAGCAATTGTGGAAATGAACCAATTGCAGAATCTCTGCTCACAGTTACACATTATACAGTCCAAGCCATTAACTTAGAGAGATGTAACATGTTTCAAGATACATGCGGTACTCAGACCACATAATAGATAAACAAATAAATATGACCAATAATCCTAATTTTAGATACATTTTATGAAAACATAAATGTACTGAATATCACTTTATTTCTAAGATTGTCTAAAAATAAAGTGTTCTCTGGGATTTCTTTGAAAGAGATTTAGCTTTATAAAAATTTAGGATGGTGCCACTGACTTACCAAACATCTAGGTGACAAAAGCCATGTATTAGATATAACTCGACATGCTTTTATAAAAACCTCGTGAGAATATTTTTTACAACTACTTGTTATAGCATTCTCTGTTCCCCTAAAGATGGCTTTTTCTTTAATCTTCAATTTTATGGAAACATTTTCAGATTTAATCTATAGTTTTGACACTGAAGGATCCAATAAAAGGAAATTTGTAACTAGTTCAGTGATTAAGATGTAGAGATTTAGAAAGCCTTTTACACTGTAAGGGGGAAAGGATTTTTAAAGTCGGAACTTTGTGTCAGAGTAGCATACCAGTTGTTCCTACTAATTTACTGCTGTTTCAAAAGTCTCGTTTTCAAACTTCAGGGAAGGCAGAGGCTGTAAGGAGAGTCAAATTGAGAAAGAGAACAGCCATGTTGTCAGAGCTGGTCAGATTCTGAAAGAAGACAGACTTTGCAAGGCTGGCAAGGTCAGAAAGCAACTTCACCGAATGGTTAATGGGTTGAATTCAACTGAATGTTTAGTCAGAAAGAGGGGTGTGCGGAGGCTTGGGTTTGAAGAAATGAAGACAGACAACTTGACAAAATAAAGGAAACAACAGAGGAGATAGCATGCCTGTGATAAGAGATGCAAAACCAGAAAGGGGCTGACATAGGCGGTAAAGCCAGGTTTGGGCAATGACTGGAAGGCACTAAGAATTAGGAGGATATTTTACCTTCCTAATTTGTGTTTTCAATATTTTTTTATCACTAACCTTTGTGGTCTGAGCTCAGAATTCCAAAGTTATTGACTTCAGTCTTTTTACCTATTAATACTTCTCCAAGATATATTAAAATATACTTCCAGGCTCTAAAACTTTGAAGATGCCACCATCTCCCCAAACACAAACTAGGTAGCAACTTAAATGTCACTACTACAATAGTCTGACAGTTCCAAATGGGTTAAAAACATCCCTCTGAACTTCCAAGAAAAAAAATTTATGCACTAAATACACAAATTAGTGGAATTCTTTTTCTCAGCAATAAGTACATATCCTCTATAAGTCATTTCTTCCAGAGTTGGTTTACTCACCTGGACCTGGTCTACTGCATGAGGATGAAACAACTGGGAAATCAGCTATTCCGGTGAGGGCTCAACGAATGGCTCTTCTTGCTGTGGAAGAGCAGGGTGGGATTCTATCACACTGTCCACCTTTAAACTGTGCCCTTTGCTATTCATAGGGCCCAGGAAAGCTGTTGAACTTTTATCACCCTATTTAGTCATCTTTGAGATGAAGATTAAAAATAAATCTTCCCTTTTGGGGTTAAGACAGAAATAAGGAAATTGGTAATAGATAAATTGCTTAACAAAATAACCAATAGCTAATAAATCTTAAAAACATGGCGAAGCATGTGATGATGCAATGGATTTCTCTACAAGCTTAAAGATAACTTGCCACGTGGTAAAGAGCTTAACTATTACTTTCAGTAAACTTATTATCACATTAAGAACCAGTAGTACTTTATTGCATGATCCTATAATTAATTGTTCTGACCAGGCTAATTTTGAAAGTAAGACCATTACAGTTAGGCTATCCTGCTTCAAACACAAAACAAAGATCAAATGAAAACAGGCCAATTCAAAGATTTCTGTCCCCCATCCTCCACAGACTACTGGAGACTGGGAACACTGACTATCCAAATTATTTTGACCCGAAAAAACAAGAGCCGAAGAGTATTATGAACAGTAGCCAGGAAAAA